AAAAAAAAAGAGGGGGGGGGGGGGGGGGGGGGAGTGTGCAAATGAGTGAATAAAGCGACAGTGAGATCTTGAGTGTGTCTCAATTTTATTGCAAAGCCACTGATTAATTTTACTCTATTATTCGTTAATTCACTTTGGATCCTTGTAAAGATTTACAATATTTTCCAATCAAATGGTAAAATAAATAAATAAATAATTGGGAGGATTAATTCGACTTTTACAATTAATACGACTATGAAAAATGTAAGCGAGTCCCATTCGCAAAGTCAATCGGGTACTTACAAATTCGTTCGCTTAAAATTTAACTCCTCATAAATCCGTTAATAAATTCAAATTTAATATTAGCTAGCTAGTTTTAAACTTTTCTTCTCGTTCAGTTACAAATGTAGATGTCCATGTCGACAAAGGTTTCTCGCCGTAGTAAACAACACAGCAACAGTATAACAGTTACTGCAAAATATGGACTAGGTTTAGAAGAGCATAGCATTCAGTTCTTATTGTCGAACAACGTTTGTTCTGTTTCCTTTTATCCCCTCTTTTTCTTTTGTCCACTTATTTTCACTTTGACAATGCATAGCAGGTGCCGCGTGGCGTCGCTGGGCTACTTGCGCGAAAAATTCATTCGCGACGACAATCCTCGTGAAAAAGAATAGAAAAAAAGGATCCCATCTTTTACCCGACTTCTAGACGCCGCACGTTGTTGGTGTAAATCTAATAAATATATATATTTGTATATAGATATATATTACTTTGTATAAATAATAATACTCGCCTTTACTTAACTAACAAGTCCTTAAACGACGTTACTTACGAGTCCATGTGTCGAATATAAATAAGTAAATATTCTAAAGGTAAACTCTAAGTAACGAAGTAAAACGCAAAGGGCCTGTCTAGTCAATTAGCGGGTAGAGGGGGGCGATAAGGGGGATCAAGTAAAAAAGTGATTACAGTATTTACAAAAATCGCTAAGAAAAAACTACTCGTCGCAGCTTCACGAGTAACAGGTAATAAAACGTTTGTGTGAATTTTGTGCGCAGGGAAAATTCTCCCTTCAAGTATCTCCTAAGTGTTACGCGTGTATATAAGTCAAAACTGTAGAAGCAAAAGTATGTGTCTCGGTGATTATTTACTTTTGCCTCTTCGGATACAATCGTGTTGAGATTCACTTTATCTTTAAAGCTACGATACATAGCTTCTTTTGCAATCATAAGCCCGTATTCACAACTCGCTCTTAAAGTCACTAACAGAGTCGCTTGTAGTTAAAAGTCACTAAGAAAGAATTTAAGAGCGCGCTATTAGCACTAAGAGCGAGTTCTGAATACAGGCTTTAGAGTTTACCAAATTTCGACTATTCCTTTAATCTGCTATAGGTGAGTCAACGTCTTGTCGCTTTCTTTTATTAGATCAACGAGTATCCACCTCCTCCAAGTAATATAGTTACCAGTAATTGCTAGGACACTGCGTAGATGGAATATGATACTCTTGTTTTTTTAATTAGTTTCATATAGTGTTCCCTATATATTTTATAATGTTTCGTTGGTTCTTCTCAGATCTAATGGACGTTCCCACTTGATACACAATGATTCTGTTGAAAAACTAACAAGGAGTTCCTCTTAACTTGAGACATGAAAAAGAAAATGATTGTTTCTCCCAATTATTGAGAATCGTATAAAATAGTACGGCAGTTGGCGCAATGCTATTAATATTAAAAGTCAATCGGTTAAAAGAGAGGTCCACGTGTAAATTGTAATTGCACTGCAGATTATGAAGTAACGAGTTGCATCGTCAATTCCCTGGATGCATCCCTGATGAACGTTTCGATGCTACGTTCATGTTAAATATCTATGGCGTCTACGGTCAGTCTTATAATTGAGAAGAGAGAGAGAGAGAGAGAGAGAGAGAGAGAGAGAGAGAGAGAGAGAGAGAGAGAGAGAGCGTGTGTTTAAATAGCTATGTTATCGGAAATTGATGGCAAAACTTCCTTTTACAGCAATGTACAACCGAAAGTTATGGTACATCGTTTCCATGAGTGGAAATTGGACTACTTGCCAAAAGACTCTGCATTAACTCATTAAAATCCGCTTGGAATTTCGAGTGAGCAACGGAGATGGACCCAGGGTACGTCTCGATTGGCCGATGTAAGATTGCTGAGGGTGATTAGTTGCTATTTAGAAATAGTATTTATAGTGGTATCCTGTGTCCAGCACAATTGGCACGGTGCTCAATTAATGCAGTCCCGAGGGTCTTCCACTATATTGCAGGCTCTTAATAGTAGATAAAATTAAGTAGACGTAGAAATATTATATTCTATCCTTTCTCAGCTGAAAAGAGCTAAAGGCTGCATTAAGGGAGAGGCATCACTTTTCTGTACACGCTCGTTACTTCTCCTGTCATGATCAATCGATTAGCGCATTAATAGTTATACAATACTAAAATGTCATGGTGTCCTCTTCCGTTGTCATGGCTCGGTTCGACCGAAATACGTATTCCTGTATACGTAATACGCTACAATATATTGACTAAGTCATCCGCAATCTAGTCTCCTTCGCTCCTCGAGAGAAAGGAATATCTTTTATAGTATACGAACTCATCACTTAACTTGATTCTCTTCAAGTATTTATAATTCTCTGCACGAGCGAATTATCTCTTTTAATTCGCCAGGGCGCCGTCGTCATCTTGTTGTTCGCTCATCTCCGCGGCGGAAGGAATAGTGGCAAGAAGTCTAACAGCGAGTCTGCCTGGTGAGCCTGGTGGCTCGGGTTCTTGGATAGCGAGTTGCCTCGTGAGTCTGGGTTTTGGTCTAACTGGCCTTGGTGCGGGTCTTGAGACTTCTAAGCTGGCACTCGATCTAGACATTCTCCATGTGCTGGTACTAGCCGTGGTTGCTGATCCGGAGGAATCATTTCTCGATGAACTTAGATTCGAGTCCTGCGATGGCTTCCTGGTGATCAACCATGAAGAAGCCCTTCTCTTAGGATCCAATAATCTTAGAGGTATCCCGCAATGGTGGGTCTGCCTCCAGGAATCCGATCTAGAGGATGAAAAGTTCTCACTGGACGAGACGGAAGAGGCTCTCTTGTGCTGCTTTTGTTGAATTTCTGCAATCTGATAGGCGTACTGATCGCTCCTAGTGTGTCGTTGCCTTTGAACTTGACATGGCCACAACCATCTGGATCTCCACCAACTGGAGGAGTACTGTCCGTTCTCGAGAAGACGCGTGTTGCAAGCACAAGGTTGTTGCTCGCGACTCGATCTGTCCACAAGACTGTTGGTGTTTGCCGGAGTCTGACGATTACTGAAATTCGAACTGTGCCGACATCTTCCAATTCCTCTGGTGACTCTGGACTCTTCGATGGCCTTGCATATGAGAACGCAGTCTTTCTTGAATTGCTTGGTCAGGATGGCATAAAGAAACGGATTGCAGCAAGAATTCAAAGGAAGGACGAACACTGCAAATACTTTGGCCTGCTCAAGGGAGACCAGTTGAAGACCGAATGCTGCCGTCAAGGAGAAAAAGGCTATCGGCGACCAGCAAAGAAAATCAGTAAAGACCAGGAGAGCCATCCTCTTGGCGATTCGGGAGTCATTTGAATTCCAGGCCTGGGAGCCTCTAATAGCACAATACATCTTGAGGTAGCATCCCATCAGAATGAGGAAGGCTACGCCGTTTATCAACATAAGGAACACTACGTAGGTTAACGAGGCAGTACCCGTTGTTTCGAACGGCAGGCAGATGGCAAATTTACGATAGTCGGATATTCCAAGTAACGGCAGTGTGGCCATAGACACAGCGAAACCCCAACCGACTGTCATTATGTAGCCAGCGTGCTTCAATGACAATCGTTTGTTCAAATGCATTGCATGCGTGATCGCGTAATTACGCTCGAGTGTTATCACTGCCAGAGTATAGACACTCAACTCCGAACTGAGAACTCCGAGGAAGCCGGCCAGCTGGCAGCCTGCTGACATCTGCCAGGGTATAGCATACATACGAAATTCTCCAAGGGTCGATGCATCCACTACGGCCAATAAGCCTGCGAAATAAGTAAATTAAACCTTTTTACAGACTTATGCAATCGTTTATCATCGTTGCAAATCCTTAGCTCGCACTTTTTGCGAATGACTGTCTTACTGTATTCGTTCTGTTACCTAGATAAATTCCCATAAAGAAATCGGCAGCGGCCAGGTTACAAACGAGGAATCTGGGCACATCCATTTTGCTCCTGGAGAAGATTAGGACGAAGACGACGGTACCGTTTCCAAGCATTGCCAGAAGAAAGACGATCCAGACGCCACAACGAAGTGTCCACCAGTCAAAGAGGTCTTGGCATGGCAAAAAAGGTCCTAAAATTAAACGTTATATTACAGGATATTCAGAGTTCTCAAAAGTATATCTGAAATTATTTATCCTCTTACATTCGCTGTTTACGGTATTATCACAAATAACATTTTTCGATAAATAAATAATAACTTAATGAACAAACCAGGCTGTGGCAAGCACTGTATGTGCGGAGGATTTGCAATTTGTCCTGCGACAGTCGTCCTTCCGTCCTGATCCTCGAAATAATCCTCGACGTAGGACGGCAGATTACCAGGGTAAGTGAAATCTGAACCAAAGTTATCCCAAAGTTCATTTATTTCTGATCCAAATTTGTTGCTCAAGTTATCTAAAAAATTTCGTCACTTCAGTGAATTACAGGATTTCCGACGGCTAGGTCGAAATGGCAGCAAGTACTTATAGAGACTAATACTATGAACAGTAACAGAAGGAGTCTGACAAAGATTTTGATGTCAAGGAAAAGAGGTTGAGAAAATAAGCGAAATAATGTAATTTAGAGAAAAACCCGAATCCGCCATTAGCTGCAAATAATTCACATAAAATATATTACTTCCCAGTCACTAGAGAATTTCTCAAAGACAAAATTAAACGAATGTCAATATAAGTCTCTAGGAGACTTTGCTGTTCATTCAGTTTATCGGTATACTGTTTTTTTTTAATCTTTCCAAGGTATCTTTTGAGCAAAAAATAAAATCATCACGTTCCTAAGGATTACTTACGCAACTGCGGCCAAATGTCAGTTAGGCTCGAATTCCAAAGGCTCATGTCGAATTCATTGTCCGTGGGAAAGAGTACGGATTCTCTGACGGGCGACTTTGTCACAGGATCGTCAACGTTGATCGCCAGAAAGGAGCAACAATGATAAGCGTAGGAGAGGACCATAGTTTGCACCCTAGGGAATCTATCGGGAGCAGGAAACTCCCTCAGGGCAGGATTATTGAAGGTCTTCAAGTGTAAGAGTCTCGATAAGCCGGTTATCGGAAGGGTCGGAAATACATTATTGCCTAAATTCCTGCAATTCAAACCGCGTTATAAATCAATGGGGCTTAGTCAATCCCAGCCGCTGTGCGTTATCGTAATTATTAAAACTTACAAATCTTCCAGTTGCCTTGTTTCCCTAAAGGCATCTGGATGTATGTCCTCTATTACATTACTTTCCAAGTCTCTGAAAACGCGACGCATCAATTATTACAAGTTACTCCGACTCTTGTTCAAAATTACCAAATAATGTACTGATTAAACACTAAAAGTGTCAAGCATTAGATGATGGCTGAAAAGGACTTTGACATAATATCCTATTTGATAATGAAGATGAAACTTACAATACTTGTAATCGAGTTAATCCAGTAAATGCGTCTCTGGGTATGGTCCTTAAATTATTATTGGACAAAAGTAAATCGTGAAGTGCGCGAAGACTGCCGAAGGGCTGCTCGTCCAAGGAAGTAATGAGGTTACTTGCCAGATCCCTGGAATTCCAGCATAATTATTAAAACTTGTCAGTAAATAGAAAAATTCGTCAACTAGCCGGCACGACTGATCTACTTACAAGACCCGAAGATCATTACAACCCTTCAAATTTGGAATACGAGTCAATTGATTCGACTTCATGTCTCTGCAAGGAGAACGAACGACAGATTAATTATCAGCTCGACCATTGGTCAAACTGTGTAACTGAATTTATAATTCCCGAAAATACTGACAAACTTTTGAGCTTTGGACATTTCTCGCAAAGATCCTCCGGCACTTCTCGCAGGTGAGCACGATCGACTCGCAGGACCTCCAAAGAACTGGTCCCATTCAAATTAGGGAAATCTTCCAAATCCTTGGCATTCGACAGAATCCTATATCGTAAAGGCAAAAGATGGAGTTATCGAAAACCAAAAGAATAACAGTACTGACAGAAGATCAACCGTATACTTTTTTTTTTTATTAGGTTTTTCTTTTATACTATACATGTTATATTTTAAATGCAAGGACTGGCTCTAGGATACATGACAGAGACGATTAAGCCTAATTCACCTGTTATATCATCATACACAAACATGATTATCAACGTTATCTCCTTATTGTAACATACTTACAACTTACGCAGTCTGTGAAGATTTTGAAAAGCATCCACGTGAATTCTCTTTATAGGATTTCCACGTAAATCAAGAGAGACCAAGTTACTCGCGCGACTGAATGCGTCGGCGTTTATTCTCTGTATTCTGTTATTCGTTATCGATCTGAAAACATTTTTTAGAAACGAATTGACGGCTACTTACATCGGTATAAGGGAAATTGGTAGGTTAGATCTTAAGAGTTAATGGCGACTCACAAGTCCTCCATGTTGACGAGCTGCTTAATCGCACTGGGAATATCCGTTAAGTAATTATCATCGAGTTCTCTGGAAAGTAAAGAGCAAACTCATCAAGTTCAATTACCTTAATGAGAATGAGTTAATCCATGGAGAATGATAACTCCTTTAAAATTAAAATACTAACAGCACTCGAAGATTTGTCAAATTGGAAAATGCGTGTTCGTTGATGTTGCTCAAACGGTTGCGTCGAAGCAATCTGAAAGAAGTAAAAGAAAAAAAAAAGAGGGTACAGTCAATTAAAAGGATATTCGGCATGTCAACGTAATAGTCCCGAAGAACGATATAATACTTACAATATTTGAAGATTAGAAAATTGATGAAAAGCCTGAGCCGGAATGTCCGTTAGATTGTTGCTCGTAAGATCTCTGAAATAGAGGAGTAAATTAATCTCGAGGAAAGCATTCGAAATATGTCAAATCAAAGATGAGAGTTTATCGATCAGAGGCACGTATAGGTATACTAAGCATTTAAGTGGAGGGTGAAAAAAAGTAGAAAAAAAGAAAGAGGAGGAATCCTAAAATTCCAAATGTCGTCGGTATGACGATTCTTTTTCACTGAATCTAAAATTCTAATGAAATATGAATGGCGAAAAAAAAAATGAGGGAGAGAGAGCGAGAGATTTCGCTCTAAATATAAATCTCTTGGAGTTCCTGGGCATCGGCGTTCGCGTTAAGCGCCGCCAAGCGATTGATTAATGCCCGGCATTTGAATCAAGGACGAAAATAAGCATTGCCGCTTTTCTCGGCTATGGATTATTCAGTGCCCGATGCTTTCGAGTGCTCGAAGGAGCTGTTTGTTGTCACAGCCGTGTATGCATAGCAGCGCCATTAGAAGAACAGGAGGATATAGGCGATGTCGAGAAAAACGTCTCAGATGTCGTCTCAAGGGACGACCGCGATAGGGGACAAGGCGAATCCTGATGCTCGCGAGTACATCCGAGGCAGGTTCTTTTTGCTCGGGACGGCGACCTCTGATTGTCGGCTCAGGATGATTAGCAGGTAGGTGGTGCTGATGCCGCAAAGGAGCTTCCTCCTCCTTACCCAGCAGCATCTTCGGAGCCGATAAATTCAGCGGGTTGGTAGAACGAGCGAGATTAATAACTGTCGCGCAGTTAAAGACGGGATGATTGATCGGCCCAGTCGACAGCTGAGGTGATTGATTGGATAAGAGTTTGCGCGTAAACATGAACTGCCGCGGCCGGCCACTGGAGTAAGAGTGCTGGGCAACGATGAACGGGACTTTTATCGGAGAGTCGACAAGAGGAAATGGAGACCGGGAAAAAATAACGAGATACGTGTCTGGGCATATAGGTTTGTCCCACAGTCACACACAGTGCATCCAGACATGCGAGTCAAGCGGCGCACCGAGGGACAGATTGCACTTTCATACATTTTCGAATATCCACAGGAGCCCGAGACGCTCTCCAATTCCAATGGAATTCTTCTTCGCGTGCAAATGGAAAATATTCGAGGTTCCACATCGGTTACGACTATTTGCAAGCGAAAAGGGGACGGAGAGAGAAATTCCACGAGAGATGCTGCGAATCGTTGCGTGCTCCATGGAATTTACCTAGGAATTACTCAGAGCCTTGGGGAACTTTTTACATAGTGGATTCAGCGGGGATTGGCACTGCGTTATGGAAGACGACGCGAGAGGAGCGAGAGGGGGAGAGAGAGAGAGAGAGAGAGCCAGGATCAATTTGATCGGGAGGTAGAACGAGAGAAAGAATATTCAAGGTGTATCTAGCAGAAGGACTCGTGACCCTTCCAAGACATGGTTATTACGCAATAAATGCCCGCGATCCCTTAGTAACACGTTAATGGAGTCTTAGAGGGACATCTTAGCAAGATGTCACGAAGAGAGCTCGCCGATGGGACTTTGAACTTTCTCGAAGAAAGGAAACGTAGCCCGTCCGTATTAATCCGATGGTCATAAAATACGAGGAAAAATAGTAAAAAGAAGCTCGAAAGTCTCGCAAGTCCACTTTATTTCCAGCTAAATAGCTAAATAGCTAAACTCAGACCAGCGGGAACTCCATTGATCCGTATTTCTGGCTTTCCGAGTTTCTGGCAAGAAATTCAAAGTCCAGTAAAGATGGCGCTTGCGGCCCCAATAACTCCTCAATGCTAATCAACGAGTACTCCGGACAAATGATTCTTTGCTAATCAACAGGAATAAGAATGCCTCGTTAAACTGTTCCATTCGCTGCTCGGGCAAATCGAAAAATCTAAATTATTCGAGAGCCTCCGCGTGCGCAGCTGCTCGTAAAGTCCTCGTAAGTGCGGCCAGCGAATGCCGATCACGATTCGTTTCCCCTCGTATCGTGAGTGCTAAACTTTATTTTTCGATCGATGTCCCTTCCCTGTTTAGCTCGGCGAGTGAAAACCCGATAAATCAGCCAGGGTGAGGCATCGCAACCTCCAAGAAGCCGGAGGAACCGACGTCCAATACGTCTGCATCGGGAGCGCCAATTTTCAGCGACTTATTATCAAATGCTCTGAAAGCGAGGCGATCCTCGTAAAACGAGGCATTTAACGATTCCATCGAAAATAAAGCTTGTGGCCACGATCAGGGCGACGTAGAGGTAGAGAGATAGAGAGAGAGAGAGAGAGAGAGAGGCTGGGGGAGTGGAGGGAGGAAAGACGAAGAAGCAGGCGAGGGAAAGAGAGAGAGAGAGAGAGAGGGAGAGAGAGAGAGAGGGAGAGAGAGAGAGAGAGAGAGAGAGAGAGAGAGAGAGAGAGAGAGAGAGAGAGACAAGAGGATGGAGACCCCTTACGACGAATAGCCACGGCCATCGCTGCGTTCTTCCCGAAAATATCAGAGAGCTGCGGCTAAAAAACAAAAGGGACCTTCCTGGTTTATGGCGCCAGCATCCCTTCGCGAGCAAACGACACTGAACGAGCCTCCCGTCGATCCACTTGGACGTCCGTCGCGTCGCCTTACCTTCGCACAGTTCACATTTGCCATTAGTATCGGAAGGAAGCAAGAGAAAAGCTGAGAGCGAGGAGGGAGAAAAAGAAATAAAATAAAAAAATAGAGCCCACGGGGGTGTTGACGAGGAGGAGGGGGAAAAGAGGGGGAAGAGGCGGAGGAGGGGTCCGGAATGGCGGGAGCGGTTGACTTTATTTATACGCCAAGCATATAGCAGCCGGAATATCGCGATGACGCAACGACCAATTTCTTCTTTCGCTTTCGTGTAACGAATAATAAGGACGCTCTCGTACCTATTCCCTCTCACCTTATAGCCGGTATATATACTCGGTATACTCAGTAAACTTAGCCGGGCTTGTGTCCACTCGACTACGAATACGACAGGGTTTCACCTTTACTCTTTACACGAGAAGCACAAGCACCCTGGAGCGTCTACAGTGCCGCTTTATTGTCGCTGCTTCCCGCGGGTCCTTTGGCCTCTCTCTTTCTCTCTCAATCTCACGCTATACGCCCTCTTATTACTTTCGTAAAAGAAAATTTGACGGCGACAGTAAACCGACTCTGGCCCAATAAAGATAGGCCCGGACAAGTTCACGGCTTTCACCTCTTTCGCCTTGTTGCGCGACGCCCACTTATGACTTCACAATCCATTATGCCACGTTACTCCTGCTCCGAATATAGGCTATTCCAATCGTGAATACTAACTACATTGGCTTAAACTGTTGATCGCGCGATATCGCATTTCAGCCAAAACTATAGGCACTGTAGCGCGGACTATCCAAGTTACATCAAGCGTAACCGTATCTCTGTGTGTATATATATATATATATATGTACCCACGCCTAAAACGTAGGAGTCACTCGGATTAAACTAATCGAGTTATTCAATTTATGCCCGTAACTTTTGATTTTGCAGTAGGCTCGGAACTTTGCGCGAATCAATCCTTGGCAACGTGACCCAGAGATTTAAACAGCTGGATTCTTGAGATAAAGTAAGGAGATACAGGTATACGTAAGGGATGAAGGTTCACCCTCCGTCTCTCCGTCTCTCCGTTGGGAAGACTCGTTCTTTTTTCCTTTTCACAAGAAATCTAGCTACGTGAGAGGATTACGGGAAGACAGCGTAATCGTCGTTAAAGCAAAAGTTATGAGATTAGTTTGGGCGAACCTTGCTCGATTAGCCAAGGGGATGCCGTCCTGGTCAATCGGTCCTGCGGGAGAATCGGGGATGTTCGGGGAAATTCGGACAGATTCGGGCCGAGTGGATTAGTCTCCGAGACACACGAGAGTGCGGAGAGAGAATTATTAATCGTTAAGGTACATACGACATCGTAGACACGTATATAGCCATCCAGTGCTTGCACCCCGACAAGAGATAGAGAGTATCGTTTGCCCACGTGGCCTATAGGGATGACTTACTGACAGCGCGTTAACTTCAGCCAGGTTAATCGAGTATAAAGGGCATGAGACAGAGAGAGAGAGAGAGAGAGAGAGAGAGGGGGGAGAGACAGAGAGGGGGGAGAGAGAGGGAGAGAGAGACTCCACTGCCTAGATTAGCCAAGGGAAATTAACCTGCCAACGTAAAGTTATCGACCAGCACGGATCGCCGTTCTTCCATTAGACGCGAATTTTCTTATCTTCCAAACGTTAACTTTCTCACAGTGGTGTTAACGTCGTTGATTATTGCGCGAGAATACCGAGCGATAACGAAATATCGAAAAATATAAAAAGTTTTAAAAAACTTGAAACGGCATAGCAATCTGACTATTCTACTAAAACAATCGGCTTATAGTCTTCTCCGGAGCGGTCCAAATCCAGCATCCGGCCAGCATTGTAGAAATGAGGAGATTTGCGAGTAAGTGAAATTCCGTAAAATGGCAGAGATTTATGGTGGTCAGTGATTGCGTGAGTCTCGTGCTGCGTGGCATTTAACCCCGCGGCGCGCCATCGATTGACCAATCAAAAAATCTTGCGCGTCACATGAAAAGGAGGAAGGGGGAGCAGCAGGTAACGCAAGTACGAGACTCAATTTAAAGTTGGAGCGAGAAAGAGCCAGCTGATTAAAACGCGAGCGACAGGATTAAATCTCGCGCGGAAAGTTCACTTCCTGTCCGCCTTATGCCCCATTGGCTATGACCTACAATAACCAACCTAAAATAATACAACAACCCACTAGAGTTATTTCACATTATCCTCCTTTCGTCATTTGTAAGCCAACCCCGATCAAGCCGCGACTACAGGACCATGCTCGTTAACCGAAATAAATCTGAAAATTCATCGAGCGTACACACGCGACTTACACTGCCCCGTGACCTGTGCTGCTGCCGCTGCTGCTGCTGCTGCTGCCCCTATCGTCGCTTACGTGCCACATTCTAGACAGCATGTCGTTGAACACTCACCCACCAGATACAGAGAGATATTACTCGAAACACGGAATATATTATTTATTTCGCGGACAAGCGTCACTTCGTTTCCAAAATTTATCCACATTTTCATTCTCTTCCTCTGATCGTCCAGTGCTCGTGCGCGCAGCAGTGCTTTTCATTGTTTTCGACATATTTATACGCAGGACGTGAGAGCCTGCATGCACTTTGCCATTAGGAAAGTGTGGGCACGGATCTTCGAAATGAGAGACAGCGAGGAAACGTTTCCCTCGTACAGTCCCTCTCGAAATATCAGCGGAAACAGGTCAGAGAGCACATACGAAAAGTAATGACTTTTCAGGAAAATGAAACTTTCCAAACTTTTCTCTCTCGCCGTATATCAGAATCTACTCGGCGAGTCTCGTGAGATACGAGAAGCAGTTAGGATGCTCGCTTTTTCTCGGCGCAATCTAAACCAAAGGAACGTCCGCAAGATTCTGAATACGTTGGATAGAAAATATGGGCTCTCAAAGTAGTTCCTTTTCCACCTGAAAATTCAACAGACGCCGACCCAATGCAGCTTCGAGTTGCCTTGAACTTCGTGAACGCGAAGCTTCGTCTCTCGAAAGAGACGACAAAGGAGGCAGTTAAGAATAATTTCCTTTCGTGTTGCTGGTTTCAGCAATTTTCCACTGATTCTTCCAACCAAAAAAAGGCGCAACGACGGATGTTCGAGGGGGCGAGGGGGGGTGAGTTTTTCTTTGGACAAGAGTCTGAACTCTTTAATATTCCGCAGAGAAGGAAGAAGGGAAAATAAATCACGTGAAGCGAAAAAAGCGACGGTAAATGCGAACTCGGTTTGGAGTTTGCGTCTTCCTCGCGACGACTGCCATCTTTTTTATTCTCCTTGCTGTTGCCCTCTTTCTTTTCACTCTCTCTCTTTGTCTTCTCTCTCACGCGTGCTTCCCATAGATATTCCCCTTTGGAGTTCGGATCGTTAAACGCGACGGCAATGACTATCCCGTAGAAAGGCTCGCCAATTGTCACAAAGTATCTGAAAAATGACGTCACTCTGGCCCAATCACGTACGCGAATCGGATTTCGAAATCGGTAAACGCGCGATCGTTTACTCAGAAAGACGAAAAATGCTAACGAGTGCACGTGCAGTAAGATCGCGGGGCATAAGTAATTGGGGGAAGGCAGCGCGACGTCAGCTGATCAGCGATTGATCGATCGACCAAAAAATCCCAACGCGATTCGCTGGTAAATCCCGAATTTCCCGGCGAGCCAATCTATCAGCTACGGGTAATCAATTTTTGAGCCACGAAGAGTAACGAGATCCCTAACAGATAGAAAGGTTAAAGTCGGTTCACAATGGCTCGTAAAAATAAGTTGCCGAGGCGAATTCTCTGTTGGAATTCGCTGGTGAAAGGCCATTCACGAATATCGACAGGAGGACACGCCAGCCACTCTGACTGACATTGTCAGTGAGGACAGCTCGGGTCGACATGCTCATTATTTTCTCATTTTCTATTCTTCGTTATTTCCTTCTTTTCTTAGCTGCCTCGTCTTCCGTCCTTTCCCCCGTGGTGCTCTTGAATCTCTTGTGAAGGAACCTTTAGAGCGGCGTGATGCGAGGCTAATTACTCAGTGTCAGGTAAATAATTACATTGACGAGGGGTATCGATACGCTATTAAAAGTCGCCTAAAGAAAAATCCGGAGCGACCGACTTGTTGGATGAACGTGCAGACGAATTTTGCTATCCTTTTTAAGGTGAATTAACTGTCGAGAAGATTTGTGTATTAATTGTGGCTCAAGTACAAAAGGGTCGTTATTGCTCATGAATAATCCTCGTTGAATTAGTACGTATACCCCGGGCATTGAGCCAAGTATATACATCACATGCTAGCCATGTACTGGGATCTCTTCGTTCTAATAGTTTTACTATTCAAAAGTGAATTCTTCATAATCAATGTGCATCAACTAAGACACTAATCCACATGAACACGACGAATGCACGTGCCAATTCCTAATCTTTTGAAATTCGATTCAAAAATATTAATAAGGCAATTGTAAAATGTAGATATTTTGCCATCAAAAACGTCAAATTATTAGCACGTTTTAGAAGTATTTGGTATAATCGTGGCTGCTTTTAGAAACTTCGGTATTTTATCAAGTAGACTAACCAGAAATTCATATGGAGTGCAGAGTAGACAGCTTAATAACTTGATGCATGTATCCACGTTACATTTAAGGGAAGCAGATGGATATATATAGTGATACGCGGTGAAATCTCTGCTATGGTGCTGAAACATGGGAATAAGCTGCCATCTGGGTAAGAGGATGTTATACATCACTTTCAACGGAGGGTTCATGTAATTCGATTAGATCGAGCACGAAAAAATCAACAGTCTGGTGCAATCGCGCATGAAAATACAATGGTATACTAGATGGGATACACTACTAGTAAGTATTATACATCACCATTAAATATACATATAGAAGCTCCAGTCTTGCCTATCGGGGTAATAAGTGATCAATTTGAGACTGAGTACAACTGCATGAATATCCATTTTCGAGTGGAAAAATGAATGAAGAACGACGTAGTTCATTGACAGCGAGAGCAAGGATAAATGAGCGCAGAGGGGAAATCATTTCCCTTGGGAAACGAGGAGTGAATCGTGTGGGGTAAAATTAGCTTCATAGACTGCGTTGCCTGAATGGATCACAAAGGATCTCTCTAGCGTTTAAATAAAGGAGAGCGGTAAATCATAAATACATATTTGAGTGGATGTTACGTTACGTACAGCTTAGTGAGATTGAGCATGGCGAGGAGTGTAGCAGTTGACGAGGACTCCGAGGAGGAGTACGAGGACAAGAGCTGTTGCAATGCGTCGGCGACAGATAATAAGCCAGCCCCGCGGCAACTGAGCTCCCGTCCATCGGCAGTTATATTACAAGGTTCCCCATTGGCCGTAGCCCTGGCCCGTGCCTGCATCACGACGAAGAACATCATGCTCGCGAAGACGATCATCAAGCTGGAGCTTTGAAGAGCGTTGACAGCTGGTATCCCGGTGCGTTTGCTTGTCATTGTTGCCTTGGCGCCGGCCAGGCCGGCACTGGCCCGCACGGCCACTACCTTCTTGACGACATTTTCATTTTTCACTCGTATACACTGCTCGCCAGCCCTGCATCGCCGGCTGGCGAGATAGAAATCTCCAAGACTCACTGCACCCACTTCACGCACCGTTTAACATAAACGAAAAAGAACCTCTCGACGGAAGATCCAAAAGTGTACTGGGTCCTCCATAGAAAAGCGCGCAGGAACCGAATGGTGGGATAGCGCTGACTCTTGCTATTGGTCCAGGTTTCCACTACCCTCGACCCAGTTTTTACCCCCTCCAGGATATTTACGCGTGCCGACCGGCCAGTCCGCTAGTGAGTCGACGTTGGATTTGATCGCTTCAAACGTGAAAAGACCTTGCAGCGAGATGGTTCAGCCTCGACTGAACCACTTCGCTATGGGATAACCTCGCATAATCCAAAAATCTCATTGGCCGAGAGGATACCTTGCCTGCTTTCTTATTGGCTTATGTATGGGAGTGACGTCATTGATCGACCTCACCTACAGGTAGACTTAATGCGTGTCCGACGCACTGTACGACTAACCGGGGATGTTCATGGTGAAATGAATAAATGAGAGTACAAGACTGTGCCTTTAAGTCTCATGTTGCTTTACGATCGTTTATCAATTACGATGATAAATCAAACAAGTTTCCTTGCTCGATAATCCTCTTGGGATGTAGATGCCGATTTTTCAAAGGTTATTCGTTCATCGATGCTGTACCAGTACTGTCACTATACTATGTAGCACGTCAACTTAATCCTTTTGATATCGCAAGAAAAATCGTTAGTGATTCATCGAAAAACTTACAGGTAAACATTTTCCATATTAGAAAAAGGTGTCCCTTTGTGTCAGTCGATAACTTTTCCCTTGCTATTCAGGCTAGAGAGCTTTTTGGCATCTAAGCTGGAGTTTCGTTTAGGATTCATGCCCGATTCTCAGTTTTTCCTTGTTAAATTGCCAAAGATAAATTTGGATAGTTTGCTCGTCCTATCGACGCCCACTTCTTCCTTCCGGCGAGTTTTTTCTCCTTCTCTAGCGAAACTTTTACCCAAAAGTTTGTCGCGATAACAGGACGGGAGAGATATGAATTACTTTTTTTGTTCTCTCTTGACGATATACACATTACACGCTTGGGGTTACGAATATGATAGGAAGCACGTTCTGAAATTCACTGCCGGTACTACGTGTATCGTCATGTCACTGCTTATCTACATACAGTTGAGTGAGACACGACCATGCTCGCAGTACTGACATTACATTTCGGAACGTAATTTTATGTATTATTTATATTTTAGCTGTTGGTAAATTTGATTTATTTTCGAATAATCATTACAGAGCAGGTAATTGGTGTAAAATGCTCCTTATTCCTATGGAAATCGTGCTTTCTCTTTTATATAATTTTAAGATGTGCGAAACTTGAATGCGCAAATTATTTTTTATTTTCTACAATTTACCGAACATTTCGGAAATATGGCGATTGGATTGAATCTTATTGTTTCATCCAATAGAGTCAGTGCAACGGCTAATATCATCTGGAGGATGCATAACAACTTTCTATTTATATTCACGTAGGCGAAATCCTTACGAATGCTCGAACGCGTCTGTATTCACGTGTAGGGCGTGTGCGTCAACGAAATTCCAGTAGGCGAGTGCGAAGCCCGCGCGTAAAGTTTAAATGCGGTTGAATGTCCAAGATGGCTGCGCAACGAATAAGAAAAACGAAGGAGCAACTACAAAAGAGAGACAATGTATTGATGACATTTTTCGTCTAACAGTTCTTGTTCGCCTATGGATTCCAGCACTATAAAAATTATCCAGTAAGTGAACTAACGTAGAACTTTTTCAGCCACATTCGTATTTCAGTAGATTCCGTTACTAACCGTATACCTACATGAAAATCACCTCTCCAATTGGAACTGATATCAGCTGCGGCTCAAAGGTCCGAAAGTTGACCGTAATGCAAGGGTAATCGTTTTTTTATTTTCACTACTTAACTGGTAGCTTAACAAAATAAAGCCGATAAGCAGGAGGGGATGATGGGGGAAAGCCTTCCTCTTCCCCTTCCTTTTACTGCTTTTTCATTTCTACGCCACTTGTCGCTCACTGAACGTGTGATCAACCACCAGGAAAAATATCCGGTACGTTTGACTTATCTGACTAAATCTTTTACATGAATTTTATATGTATATTATTGACGAAAGAAGTTACATCTTTGTGTAAGTTCATGTTTGTTGCTGCCACGAACACATGAAATTTTGTTACAATTGTAAGCATGAATCTTAATTAACCGTACGATATACAATTGTATGACATTTGCTTAAAACTAGTCTCAAACGACTCGTTTCGAGAACGAAACAAAGGAAGTACACATTCACATTGTAAATAGTCGAAGATTCACTTTGAGTTAATCAGCATTATTTCAAAGCGATTTTAATAACAATTATTCATCACGAGGACACCCTCGTAATTATCAGACAGAGTCTGATTGCTCTGTAATGTTAATACTGTCGTATACTTAATTTACATAATGTAAACCGCCAGTCACAGGGACACATTATTATTTCAAATATTTGAACAATTTTATGCAATAGAAAACATGGTTCGTATGTATAATCCGCCGCCGATATTTTTTCTAAGTTAACCTAATGTTATTTAAGAAATTTTATATAATTTTTTTTACGAAAATTAAATTCAATTAAACAGATCATACTAATTTCCAGATATTACTCATGTTCCTCCTAACATTCTTACTTAATGAAAACGATGATAGTGTTTGTTACTTTAAACAAAGTAGGCAGCCAGCTGTGCCATCTTATCTTTAGGTGGTCGTGGCTTTCCTTTACTACGACCCTTCGCATGTCCACGTCCCCGCGTTGCTACAGGTTTCGATGCCACAGCTCGATGCTTCTCTACTAGGGCGACGAACACTGGAGTGCAAAATACGCAACCAGTCATTTCCGTAGCCTCATCAGGCAGCTTACTTTTGTCCTGTGCATGAAAATAATGCGTTACCGTAGTTCTTTCTTTATTTTTTTTAACTTATCTATTCAATCAAAACTTTCATAATAATTACCTGCTTGTATTCAACTGTAACGAGTTGTGCCCCACAGTCGCATACGTCTGATTCGACACTAATCTTATGTGCATTTTCAAATAAGTGAATAATGACATCACATCGATTACAGCCTAATTTCCACTTCGGAGCAGCCGAAGGATCAAGAACCAAGATGCCAGACTCGCACTCTGGACAACTAGAGAGCCCATTGGAGTTCATACTGTGCGGACAACTGGGATGCGTGCAAGAGTTGCAGCCGCTCATTCCTTTCTTCATGTCCCTGCAGAAGACGGTGAGTCAATGAAAACATTTTATTTGTCTTATTCGAGAAGATTCATTAGTAAAGTTGGAAAAATTACCTGAAAGGCGGATTATTGTAGCAATACGGACAGAACGTATAACTTTTTCCACGCGCCCCTGTCGACCAAGATAGTAATTCGAAGTCATCCAAAGGACACTTCAACTCTTTGTATATTCTGATGTTACCATTCTGAGGTATATTGTAGGTCTCGTTACAATGCGAGCAATGCATTCTCGATGGCTTACTTTGTATGTACTTCATATATCTGCGACATTTCCCACATCTGAAAAAAAATTAAGTCAACCGTGGATGATAGATTCTTGTATACAATATTCGTATCTTATTTTACGATCCAACTTGCTCATTTACCTGGAGTGCGCCTTGCCGGATGCTGAAAGTGGTGAAAACGATACTTCAAACAATTGATCCATGGCTTCGATATTTTGTACGAAATAGTGAAACTTTTGTTTAAAAATTTCTACAGTGTGCTGTAGAACGGCATAAAAATCGGCACGTCCAAGGGCGATTAGATTCAATTGTTCTTCGACGGCGGATCGCATAGTCGGCAGAACCAATTCGGGATCAATCTAGTAGCCATAAGATGAACATTTTATCAACAAAAAAAAGAATATAACAAGACGCAATTTATATTTTGAGCGTGCTATATATTTTTAACTAATACCTTTTGGTAGCCGTGAACAAGTACGATTCCCAAAGACGTTGGAATGAGTTTACGACCGGCTGCCACAGTTACGTAGTTTCTTATGCAAATATTATTTATGTGAACCGGTATAGAGGCGTCAGTGCCAATGCCATGCTTCTCCATTAGAGAAATCAATTCAGATTCTGTTAAATAATCCGGCGGCTGGGTATAACATTCCGCTAACTTTGCCTGAAAGATCGCAGGAAATCAGCAACCACTAAACACAATCGTATCCAATAGTAAAAAAATTATTTTTAGTAACTTCCTCATCCGTACTTCGTTAATATTGACTAGTTCGCCAGGTGTGAATTTTGGCAGACACTCGTTGGCGCTCAAAGTTTGCCATGTCAAAATGCTTGTGTAACCAGGATCCAGTAGCGTGTGTCCCACAGTGGTGAATATTTCAGTGCCAATTTCAAACTTAATTGTAGTGCTGAGATACTTGCAATCGGCGGCAAGCTAAAAAAAAGTATTAGCAATGAGAATCGACGTGATCTTCCAAAGTTGCATATAATCGAGAGATAAGTTAATAAATAATTTATTAACCGTGGCAATGAAATGTCTCGTTATGTAATCGTAGAGTCTCCAGGAGTCGCCGTCGAGTTCGTTTCTGGAAGCATGTTTCATCGGCGTGATGGGTGGATGGTCACCTGCATCGTGTCCTTTCTTTGGTCGATTTATACCATTAGCCAAAATCTTTTTGACATCATCGCCCCATTCAGAACTGTTTTGTTGTTGCTTCAACGTCGCCCTATTGTTGAATGTACGTTAATAGACAGTAGGTATTGAGAAAACTGGTTAGTATGTAGTGCATGGTACAAACAATAAATCAAAATTCTCAGGATAGGACGTTGTCTCGGTACGTGGGTAACTGATGTAACCTTGAGTGTAAAGTCTCTCGGCTATTTGCATCGCGTGATGAGGTCCCATTCCTAATCCTGAGCTGGCCACTCGCATCAGTTCTACGGTATTAAGAGCTTGGGGTCTCGGTTTCGCTTTCTCTGTACTTTGGATACTCACTACTCTGTGGATTTAATTGCTGGCGATTGTAAAATCAAGTAATTTGGATATCGATACACAATAATCAAGACTACGTACTTTGCTTGCTCGTACTCCTTGACATGGGCTAAAAAGATATTTGCTATTTCCTTATCAAATAAACGTACTCTGGACCAACTTAGAGGGACGTCCTGCCCATCATTTGAATTAACGGTCACCTGGAGAACCCAATAAGGATCAGGTTTAAATGTTTGTATTTCATCATGTCGTTGTACGCAAAATCCAAGTGTTGGAGTTTGACAAGGTCCGTATGAAATTAGAGAAGCGTCTAGGTCCCCATATTTTCCCTAAAAATTGTCATAATTTCATAAAGTGTTAGAATTCCTGTGTACTGTGAAAAATTCTTTTTAATGGTTACTTGGAAAAATTTCGTCTGGAAACGCGTGAAGGCACAACCGATTCTCAAATCAAGTTCCTGCCGAGCATCCACACTTCTGGCTTCATTCTCATTTGGTTTACCCAGATTAGCGAGAGCTGCTTTTATATCCTTCTCCGTAATAGCAGAAAAATGAGCTCTCCAAATATCCTGCACCACAACAATCAATTAGTACTGTCACACGCAACCTTTTTTGAATGTATTTCTCACATTGGGATTCAATCTCCGAGACATTCCTTGTTGTACAGCATGAATCACTTCAAAACATATGTTTTCACCTTCTTTATCACAATCTAACCATAATACCAAGTAATCACATTGAGCACCTTCCTTGGCTAGGAAGTAAGGTATTTTCAGTTTAGGAACTGCTTCTTTTTTCTCAGTAGGACAAGAAAATAATTCAGCCTGAAAGCAGATAGAGCTTGTACTTTACATAGTCAACCAAGATATATAAATTTGTTTTTGATGACTGCTAATATTCTAAGTTTACCGGATCCACTTTATCCCAATTGTTGTATTTCCCAGTAAAATCCAAACTCATTACATGTCCACAAACAGATGTCATTTTAAAGTTTACAGTTTCTGAACGAAACTGTCCTGTCCATTCGTGAACGGAGCATGAACCATTTAAGCCTAGAAATGTTAAAAAATATACTATCTTCATAAATCAAATAATTGCCATGCAATTGCAATTAAATAAAAAATATAAAAATAGAAATATAAAGCAGAATATAGTTCAGTGAGAGAATGACAGCAACAATTGATTATTTCATAACAAGAAGTAATGTTAAAAGTTGGGAAATATGAGTATAAAAAAAAGAAAGAAAATGAGTAATCCAATTGGTATTATCTAGATGCTATTAGTAAGAAACCATGGTATGTTAAATAAGAAAGTGTTACAGTCATCTGAAGTGATGTGTAAAGTAACCTATTAAACAAACCCTTTCTCGAGGAGCATCTTCCATTACTGAGAATGTTAGCAAGCGAAGCAGCCAGTGACGGCTTTTCCGCGACCATTAAAGCTGTCTTCATTGTACTCGAATTTCGTGTACACAGGATAAAATTGAAGCAATCACATCAGACAGCAAATTCTCGTGCCTTCTCTTGGCAGATTCTTATTTTGGGATACCGAGTCATCAATGAAGAACGAGCAGGGTTCCATTGATGATTCGAAGATGGCACCACTCAGGAGTTTGATTTTTCTTTTTCTCTTTGTTTATGCATCAGTGGCTAATATTGCTTGGTGAAAAGGATGAGGATGTAGACTTTCAAGAGCCTTAATTGTGGTTATAATTTCAAATAAATTACATGTTCTGTCGTATGACTTTTATTCTTAGCTTAGTAAAAGTATGGTAACACTCTGGCAGTTGTTAATATACAGTATGAAAATTACAACTATCTTGTTTTTTATTTTGTAGTACCAATCTCTGTCAGACAGGTACGTGTCTACGATAACTTCATCACAATAATGGATATCAGGCTCCTTTGTGAATGATTAAAATCATTAGTTAACTAGGCTCCCCGTCAGACTATTCTACTTAAAACTGTTCTGTCTGACTTTGAAAACCTGATTTAAAGGTGTATAAGGTGTATAGCGACTGGACGCGAAGATCTCGTCGAGTTGTAAGTCGCAGCGTAAAATGACGACACCTGACGGGTTTACTTTAACCTTTATCTTCGTTTGAGGTGTCAGAATACCGTAGTCCACATCTTCGTAGAGATCCTGAAAAGATAGAATTGTTTACAAGAATGTTTTCATATAAGTGGTGGGACTACTGATTTAATGTTATACCTCTACTCTATATCCACCAGGATATTGCAGGCCTAATTCCTTAAGCGTAACGGAAACATCTGATGGCGTTCCGTCGGTTCTTCTGTTCAGGAAAGCGATGGCATACGAATAGTAATTCTGATACACGGGAGTTATTGGTCTGGCCCAAATCTCTATGCCTTTGTGCTGAAAACAAAAGATCGTGTATAGTTTTCCAATTGTAGAAGATATTTTCTGGGTTTTTTTTTCCTGCATAGTTTATGAATACCTTATAAATTCTTCGACCCTGGATACCTAAAGGGTCCTGATCAACAGCAATGATCTTCTTATTTTGCAATATAGCTTTATACTCAGGTCGGATTGTTCTGAGATCTACCGACATTAACAAAGGAGCGGCTAAAACTGCCCACAGTGCCATTTGTGTCTTACATTGCTCGTAACTCAATCCAAAATTCCCTATTATTAACATGTCCGGGTCATTCCAATGGCCCGGTCCTGCGTTAGGTACAATAGCATCCTGATTGTTCCCATAATAGTCTATTATAGTTTCAAGGCTGCTCCAGGAGTCCTGAATATCGTCGAAGTTCCGCCACATATTACAATGCTCAATTATCGATGAGAAGTTAGGCTGTGGAATTTATTTGATTGTTTATCTGGAGTCACTTTTCATTAATATATACGGAAAGGAGTGTTTATGAAGACGAAATTAAATAACTGGTTTACCTGCATGCCGGCATAAATTTGGTAAACTGGCCAACTACAGGAATAAATCATTGGTCTACCTGTTTGATTTAAATGGAAGCCGAACTCGGGATACCCTGGTGTAAAAACGGATTAATTAGAAATTACCAGAATACAAATGGCTAATTATTTAATTAAGCGAGTACCTTGATCCATCTCTGAAGGATGTGCATAGCATCCATCGAGCTTGACGAAATCCACATCCCAGGAAGCGAACGTTAGTGCATCAGTTTCCAAGAATCCTAGTATACCAGGATATCCGGCACACGTGTAATTTCCATAATCTTCGTAGATACCGAATTTCAGTCCTTTCGAATGTACCTATAGATATGGAAATCATTAGAGAAATCGGAATGTGCCTTTTGTTCTCAATTTTTTCGATTTCAAGACGAAGAAAACGACGAACAGTTGTTTGTCAGGTTTAAAATTAACGATCAATAAAATTCACAGTAAAATACAGCGAGAGACAAGTTGATTACATACGTAATTCGAAAGGCTCTTCATTCCATAAGGAAATCTTTCCCTGTCGGGTACTAGTTGTCCATCGATGCTCCGATCCTTCTCAAGCCAACAATCATCGATATTTATATACTCGTAACCGACGGCAGCGTATCCTTCTGCCACGACGATATCTGCCATAGTCCTGAACAGTCGATCGCTGTAAGAGGAAACATAACTTCTGAAAACCTTACGCGATATATAATCTACCAATTCTATCATACTAAACCGACGCGCGCAAAAGACAGCAACACTGCAGCGGTCTGAAGAAACACAGTATCGTACTGCAACTCTATTCTAGAAAATTACAATTTTTATACCGACCCTGATAAGATCGAACGAACCCAATTTTTATGCATTGGGACTCCTTCCAATCCATTGGCATTGTATGATTATTCCATCCATATTCCTGTGATTCATCTTATCTGCTTAATCCGTATAATCTAAAACGTTCCATTTGACGTCCTAGGGAGAGGCACGCACATACAACGCCACTATATGAGTTGACTCTTTTTTTCCTTTCCCTTGGTCAATTACAAGATGCTAATCATTAACTTCATACGGAATGATCCAATTCCCTGGTAATATTGCTAGCTAATAATTTTGTCCCACATCCCACTTGTTTTTCAATCTTTTCTCTTTACCCGAGACGCATACGGTATTTATAATTCTTCAAGGATCATTCGGCTTGCGGTTGTCCTTGATAGCGCAGGAAAGTCAGCAGCAAGATAGGATGGCTATCTACCTCGCTGTCCAAAACGTTCAATGTCGCATTTCGCAATGTTCATTCGGCGACTTGTCCCTCAATTAACAATCCAGTTTTAGGAACCCGTCTAGATATTATTTGGCCTAGAGTGAGGTCTATTCTCGACTCGGTAATCAAGTATCATAGACCTTTCGTACGCGGACCGATGCAAAGATCATTCGCTGGAACACGACTTCCAGCGACTCTAATGAGTTTCGACTTCCTAAAGAAATGCTGGATATCCAGATGATCTGCAGTTTCGTAACTTCGAGTAGCTCTAAGGCACATGGGGAGATGTTAATCTGGCGAAAGCGTCGCGTATATTAATTCCGCGTTGCGTAAGGTAATATTCGGTCATCCCGGCCCGGGAACTGATCCTTGCGTGTCGTGCCTTTTACATAACATAACGCCTTTTAGTCCTGGCTCAATCTTACACTCATTGTCAGTCATCTAGCCTGAGATCTCATTCTCCTTTTCCAAGGTTGTTCAAGCAAGTTCGAGTTGGCAAAGAAACAGTCTGGTCTTTGTTCTTAGTGAAAAGACAGTTTGTTCGGCGGCACTTAAACTGGGACGTTGGGGCTTCTCTTTGAGATAGCATGCATAATTGAGCAATTTTCGAATCAACAAACTGTACAACACCGCGAAGGACTTCTCGCTTTTCTTGCAAAATATCCATCTTGACTTTTGATTCCCAAAGAAACTGTTTAATTATTCCTAAAAGCGGTTGGACGCAAAGTTACGCTCAAAGATCTTATGAAAGTTACAGAACTTCACATTTTATACTTACAATTAGCGGTGTCTCTATAATGACTTGTGTAAATTACAGGGTATCAGTGTAAAACTAAGTAGCCGAAAATGATTCTTGAATCGAACAATGAGAGCCTTTGGACGTCTTGGCTTGAGGAATTGTAGTTTATACCCAGTTATCGATTCCATAGGTGTACGATCTTAGGGATCCGTGTCCTGAATGCAACTGCGATTCGAAGAACGCGGATCTAAAGCCGACACGCCATTGTTATCAGGACTCAAGCACATTTTTGTTTCCTTCTCTTTCTTTTTCTTTTCCTTTTATTCTATTCTCTCCATTACGCGTGTTCCGACGGTGAAAGGAAACGCTTCGGCGTGACTCTCGTTGCGCCTCATACCTTGGCAAAAGTAGAGCACACAAATACGAGCAGTTCTACCTTGCCTTTCATTATTTATTTTCCGATGATTTTTCCACAGTCTTCTTAGCTATTGTCGTGGTAGTGCGTCCATATATAATTATAACGCATAGATTGTTATAAACACGCGAAGCCTCCAGGTTAGGCCTAATCACTGCCCATCATCGCTTAGCAATCCAGGAAGCGTCTAGCAAATTATTAAATTTTTTTCATCAAGGACTTCAGCTGTAGTGTTACAACTCGGTGTTTTTATCGCCGCAACGTGTTTGTTGCGCAAATCTCACTTCCTCTTTTTGTTTGGTCGAAAACCCGGCGCTATCCTCGTGGAAAATACGATTTTGTTTCTGGCTCGTTGGCGTCGCCTCGTTCAACACTGATTTTTTAAATTATTTTAAGGCCACGCATAGTTGACAAACAGTTTATCATTTTCTAGAACCAGCCCATATTCTAGACATATCCCTTTTGTATCCCTAAGTTTTGTAATTTACTGTTTTACCTTGGCTTACTTCATTTGTATTTGACCATTCTAACGAGAAAATGCTCACACATTTCTCTGGCTTGTTATGCCGTTCCTTCTTGGCGAGGCATTTTTAATAGCAGTATTTATTATCGATCATAATTATTCTTTCATTATTGTGTATGTACACTGCCATAAAACTTGGAAATTCTCAAAGATGCCCTTTTTGGACAGTCATTGAAATTTCCTATACGGAAATCAACGGAATTCACGATAGAAAGCCGAAGCGGAAATTCATGTAAACAGCATTAGAAACCAGGAAAACAAGTCGACTTATATAGTCTTTCTTATAAAATGCAATAACAGCAAATCAATATCATATAATATTTAGTCTTTAAGTTATCAAAAAAAATTCAAATCAATATCATCAAACCTTTCTGCATATTGTTCTTCACTATTTGTTCTATTGGTCTTATAAAGTTTATGTACGCGTCATATACCTGATGCAGTTGTCAGGATCATTCTTGCAGTCAGTATTGCATCTGAATCTCTCCCACGAAAGCCAACCCATTGGAGGTGTGCGAGCAAGGCCATTTTCCAGGGCAACTACTAGCTGTGTTGAGGCCACTATTACCACAAATCCAAGTATCGGCGACATCCTGTGCAAAGTCGAAGGTCCTTAAAACACTAGATCAAGAACTAGGAGTTCAAGTACATTTTGAGTAGGTCCTTTAGGAGAATTTATATCAAAGTTAAGCACAATTGAAGTAGTTTCAATGAGCAAATTGTTTTAGTAGACACGTTTGATAGACACATTAATTATTATAATATTAATGAATCACGGCATAAACTAATTAAGTGCCTTTCATTGGATCACTGTGTTTTCTAATAGCTTGACACGCGCACCGTCTTGAAGGCTGCGTAGCCGCTCACTAACTGATCTGATATAAGAGCTTGGCTCGAGTACTTTCACCCAATGCCCCATTTCATTTTTACCCATACCAAGAACCATGAGCCAAGCCACTTCCTTTCACAAAGTACTCCCCGCCATTGCAAGCTATTCCCTGATGGGGAGACCTTTGAAACTGCATGCCCTGAAGGGTTTTGAACCTGACGTTTGTTGACTAGAGTTAGGATTATTACAGCTTACGAAGTAATATTAATTCTGTACATGGTCAACACTTTCATAAATTTTCATTCATTTTCAAGGTAATTTTTTAAAATTATATAGAGTAAAACAAATGTTATGATTATATGTTAAAGAATATGTGGATAATCTTATGTAAAATGATTGCCAAGAAAATTGTATGTGCGTAGAATGAATAATTTGCCTTTACAAGTCCTGTTAGACTGACATGAATCTTTGTTACTGTATGAGAGTGACAAATGACAGAATTGTCAAGTCAGTAATAATGCATTTTAAAGTAGAGCATTAAGAAAAAGATTAACGCTCACAATAGATTATCCTGATACTCCAATTATGAAATGAAATATTAATTAAGCTACATATGTAGATTCTAATCTAATGTGAATATACCTGATATGCTTTTACTGTCTGTTACTTTGTTGCGATGAACTTTGAATATGCCGCAATAAGTTGACTTTCTTTGTTCGAAGTCTTTATGAAAAATGCTGTCATCATCACATTCTTTGATGCCGCCCACATCAGCGATAAACAAATGTCATTTTATATTATTGAATTGGGGAGTACATCATAACCTTGAATTTGAATATTGCAATTTGCATGAATATCAATTAAATTCAGATGCCATTCTAGTTCGATAAAGATAATGCATCAATTCCATATAATATACAATTTTCTTGGTGTAAATCTAAAGTGGACCTCTAACACTTCCCAGTACCCTTATTAATCGGTTTGCTGTTGAAACTCTCTCACATATGTATTCTTTTGCAATAAGAGTTACTACATTTCTTATCAACGTTTATAGTTAGTTTTTACCGACAAGTACTGCTTAGTATGCGCACCGATTGAGTCGAATAGCACTTTCTTCTCCTCTGTCGATAAAAAGAAAATGAAGGGTCTTACCTGTATGAGAAATTTTGAACTGAATGTCGTTTCTTGCATGAATCCCGTATATATATGTGCGGTGAAGATGATTATTGTTTTTGTCCCAATGTGGATATCGTTCGCTGACCTAACAAATGCGAGATAACAATTTTTTTTATAATTTTCTAACAGAACTCATCAAATATCTGTTCTGCAGAACAATTCTATTCAAACATTTACCTTGGCAATTCTTATTTTTATTCTTAAGACTGAGTCACATATCACGTTCCGTATAGAATTCTTTCTACTTAACAAATACAATGCTCCAGAGATCAATGCACGTTTCTAAAACTTGTGAATACTAGAATTTACCAAGTCTCTTTGTTACAGCAGTTCAGTCCATGTCTTTCTCATTGTCAAGCATCATTTGTTGAAGAGACACCATTGTCATATTGTAAATTGTAGGAATAAGGATATTTCTGTCAATGATACGCTGATAAAATTAGGTCAGCAGCATACTGACACTTGGAAAATATGGGCAGCTAAAAGATAAGAAAAAAAGGCAAGAATGCGGAACAAAAGAAACACCAGCGCGAAGGGATAACAGTGTGGAATTATGCGAATGCAAGGAGTTGGAACAAAATGTATGTATGTAGGAACAAGGTATGTAGGTAGGAAGTGTAAGATAGTGAGAATAAAAAAAAAAGAATCATATCTTGATAGAGGAGTGAGGCAGAGTTGATGAGGCGCAGTAGCGGCACAGTCAGTAGAGAGGAGAGAGAGAATATTATCGACAGCTCGCGAATCCGGAATAATCGGCATGTATGGGGCGATGCGCCATGCGATTGTGGCGCCGCCGAAGCGGCAAGACGCCAAACCAAAATATCTCGGCATCGCCGCGTCGCACGAACTCTTGGACGGTTCGTCCTTCCGATCATCGTGGTTGTCGAAGCTCGACCCGGTCGACATCCCGCTCGCTTAATATGTGAATTTTCCGCAACGGCGACCTGGCCAACGACAACTGGCCGACGCGGCCACTCCTCCGTGACACAAACATGGCCACCAACTGCAAAGATGTCCTATCTACCACCAGAACATGAAGACACGCGTTTTACCGTGACCAAGGTGAGTTTTTTTTCCTGAAGATTTGCACGTCGCACGAATATCATTGCTTTTCGATAACTCCTTCACCGCGAAACTTGATGTGCCAGGAAACGAATGACATTTAAAGGCTTCCTCCTCACCTATCAGGCTCTACCTGACATCTCGTTTTTCCCAGGTACTTTTGATGGGCTGTTCTTTTTGCTGGATCACTTTTTGATTGTTGAAAAATTAGCTTTTGCATTTTGGTTGAATTTAGTTCGGTTTCGGAACGAAGCTTCTTTTTGTTCTGAATGTATATGACTGTTTTAGTTTCGCGTCTGACGTCCAGTACCCTTCCTAGGGGACGAATCTCGTCGCTTGACGCTCTTACTATATAACTACTATTACATAAATCTGCATTATATTGCTCTGAACTGTGGGCCATTTAGTCGTGGATTTTTTGATAGTTTTCGTTTTCTTCCCTTGTTAATTTGAAGTCATTTGCTAATCAGAATGATGAGTTGTACTTTAGGAAAATATTTATCTTCACTATTTTACCTTTAACCTTAACTTAAGCATTTTCAATAAGGAAATGGCGTACAATTTATTCCACGAGATTTTCCTATTGATCGGCCGATAGTGACCTGCTTCCGGTTTCTTTTTTCCACCCCTTCTCTTCCGTTCTTCGTTTCACCACCTTGAAATTTCGTGGTCCTTTTCCCTCTTCTTGGCACTTTCGTTATAATTCTGCAAGAAGGGCTGAAAAAAATTCACGGCGCTCCATTGATATCCTTCTCCCATTCACAAGATGTCACTTTTGTTTACTCTGACAAAATTCACTGTGTGTTTCATTGACGATGATTTCATCCAGAGGAACACGGCTTATGTTTTTAATGCATCCCAACATACTTCATTTATTTTGGGCAACACTCTCGAAAGGAAGACTAATTATATTTCATAATCTTGCGTAATACCAAAATCTGAAAGGGATACACCTGCAATTTTAAATTAACTTGTACGATCGTAACAATTAAAAGAAAAGGCAAAAGTTTCTGTATCGTGAAGTATAGCACGTAGAAGAATCCCTGACACTGTTATCCCCTTCCCTCATTTTTACAAAATGCGGCGTAGGGGCATCTTTTTTTTTTTTTTTTTTTTTTTTT